TGAGTCGAGGTCTCGCGCACAACACTGCACGCATAGAGTGGGGCCGGTCTGGAGTGGTGTCGTTGGTCGTGTCGTGTGTTAGGGTGGTACCTCGGTGTGTGTGCTGTAGGAGAGCCTGGTGGGGTGAGGGTGCATAAGGTTGAAGATGGCCGTCGCCTTGCCCAGGTGCAGCGCTTTGCAATAGGACAGCAACGCGCGGTTGATTACGAACACCTCGAGCTCTCGACCTGTGTGTGTGTGTGTGTGTGTGTTGCGGCAAGCCAAAGCCGAGCCACAGCGGTTCGGGTGTTAGCTATAACCGAGCCGCCACTGTTGTGCGGCCGACATGCATATTGCTAGGCGGCATACCGGGGTGATCGGCATTGTAGTTGCCCACAAACATGTTGAGGAAGTCCGGGATGGTCTCTTGGAAGTGGATGGCCTGGGCGATCCGCATGTAGTGGGCCGGCGACGGCTTGACAGGGTTCTTCTTCTCTCGTAGCGCCTTGAGCACTCTGCACATGTCGGCCAGCGTGAGTCACACATTAGCAACAGCGCCGCACGACTCCAGAGCCAATCGGCACCTACCGATCCAGCTGTGCGAGCCGAAGGCCGGGTAAGGCAAGGTCCATGATGGTAGTGGTCACGACCACTTGGTGTTGGTCAAACTGAGTGAGCAGGACTTCGATCGCGGGTTTCACTGCATCAAGAACAAGTCATTCATGGTCAGTCGCAGGGCACCACAACGCCGCAGCGTGGTCACGCGTGCAGGTGGTTGTGGTCCACACGTGTCTGCCGAGAGAAGTACCTCCGGCCGCGCGGTAGAACTGGAGCAGGGAGCGGTAGCCACCGACGTTGCTGGCTCCGTGGCCGGCGGACTTCTTCAAGAGCTGGGTAGCGAGGGTTGCCAGCCGATAGGCATCAGGCAGCACCTGCGGGGTCAGCGTACCCTCTGACACCATCGCCGACATGCAGCGCACAAGGAAACCGAGCGTGTCCGGGTGCGGCTGGTAGGCGCTTCCGGAGCGTTGTGGTGTCGGCGTGGTCGGCGTGGTAGTGTCGCCAGCTGGACGTTGTGGTCCTCGGTGCTGGAGGGCGGTGAGGAACGGACGCACGCCAACCTTCTCCAACACCCCTCGCACCAGGGCTCGCATCGACGCATCGGCCTTGGTCGCTGCACTCGTAATCCACACGACACACGGCGCGCACACACAACGTGAACTACGTCAGCGAGTGCGGTGCGTACGCACGGCCGTGGCCTCGGGTTGGCGCGTACCGGAGCGGTTGAGCAGGTCGAGCGTGTGAATGATGGCCGGGGCGTCCAGGGTGCGGGCGTGCTCGGCCAACAGGGCGCGATAGGCCCCATAGTAGGCGTAGGGTCGAGCGAGCAGGGTTGAACCCTCCTCCTCCATCTCCTCGTGCAGCGCGTAGAGCACGTCATCCACCTCGCTGGCTGTCTCCTTGTCCTCGGCCGGACTGTGCTGTTGCTGTCCAGCGCGCTGCGCCTTAGCCATGCCGGCCTCGCCTTGCTCATCGATGACGGCCAATCGCTCGATCAGGTGCTGCAGGGCCTTGATGTCGTTGAGTCGAATGAACTGAGCGAGTAGAATCAGCAAGATGCCCCGAGTGTTGGCATCTGCGCTCTGGTCGATCAATTCGAGCGAACGATGCAGGATGTCGGCTCGGCCAGCATTGCCTGCCGCCACCAACATGCCCGCTAGGCGGGTGGGTGAGGAAACGCGAGGCCGTTGTGTAGACTGGCCAGCATGCTTCATCTCGCGCGTAAATCGCTCCATCTCGGCATCGAGATCGATGGCCGCATAGTGGGGTGGGGATGTGGAGGAAGTAGAGGTTGAAAGAAAACGTGAGAAAGGGAGCACAGGGCGGCCGCGATGAACTGAACGAAGCGTAGATGGCATAATATCGCGGAAATGCGATCGTGCAATTGGTCGCCCGAGATCGCCGAACACCACTACCGAAGAGGAAGATGCGAAGGAAGAAGTTGTAACGCAGCGAGTGCCGCCAGTCCGGGCGATCAAACGCGAGGCCATCCCAACCAATTGTGCAAGTTGTTGCAATTTATGTTTGATTTTCAATTTCCGTCAAGTGAAGCAAAGAAATAAATGCAGAAAAACCAGTTTTATTTGGTGAGGCGACCGATGGATGCTCAAACCCTGCGAAGGGGCTTCAGCTCCTTTTCAGGCTGCCTCTCGCCGATGGTGGTTGTGGCGATGCTCCTTCTCATCGCCCACGTTGCCGATGCCGACGTAATTCAGGCCCGCATGGATGAGAACAGCGCCAACAAATTGTTCTTCATCTCCAAGTTTTGCTACTCGACTACAGGTGCTACCATACTTCTCTGGTTCCATCTTGAATCGAAATAATAACTAACAAATAAATAATAAATAATCTTCGTGGGACTAGGACTGGGCGCACTGCGCATCAACACGTGGCACGTGAAGAACGACACAGACCTTCGACTGCTCTTCTTCGATGATGGCCTTTGGGAACAGGTCCACCATCATCGCCTTACCTGCCAGCAAATAAGAGACAAGGTCGCCACACTCTCTGCCATAGCCTTTGAATGTTGCTGCTCACTCGTCTTCTCTCGCTCGCAGGTGGACGGCCTAGCGTCTGGGCAAGCGGCCTTGCGCGAGGGCACCAACCTGACATTCAACATAGCCGCCCGCTCGCGACCCCGATACTGGTTTGCGCACATTCTCACTCACAAAAGCCATCTCCGCACAATGATTGTTTTAAGCTGACCTTCTGTTCTGCTTGATCAGGTATGCAGCGTTCTCGCGCTGTGCTCCGGGTCCGATGAAGTTCGACTTCGAGATGCAGTTCCTCAACGGTGGCCACTGGTGGGACCAACAATTCTCTGTCGACCAACAAGGTACAACTAACAATGCCACGCGATTAAATGTGTTGGGCAGCACACTATGCTGACGTGCACATGTTCGCCAAATCACTCCTTCAGGGCTGTTGGTGATGTTCATTGTCTACTTTACCGTCTACGCTATTATCAACCTGTGCAACTTTGCATATATCTATACCAGGCCAGCCACCACCCGAGTACGAGCGCTTCGCCCTGTCACCTGTCACGACCCTTTGTGCTTGAAATCATTCCCCTAGGCGTCTTGATTTGATTTGCTAATTTCTATTTGTTCGCACAGCTGTTCAAGCTCTTTGCGCTGGTGGCTCTGCTTGAAGGCACCTCCAAATTTTGCTATTTGGTCCACTACGGGCTCTACTCCAACGATGGCATCGGCATGTCCAGTCTCGCCAGCATGGGCGAAGGTACTCATATATGTGCTCCTCCTACTCCTCAGCGCGTGTTGTCATATGCTTACTAATGCACAACCACTGCGCAGTGTTGAATCTGGCCGTAACGCTGGGCTTAATGGGCATGCTGGTGCTGTTGGGCCGTGGGTGGGGTCTGAGTTCACTCAAGCTCTCCCATCTCAGCGCCAATATGTTCATCCTGATCACCATCTTCTACGTCCTCTACGTCGCCTTCTTCCTGTGGGGTGATATCAACTACGACCCTGAATCCACCGATGTGCGTTCCCTCTCTTTCATCACTCACACGCCACGCCTCCTTGGTTGACGTTCGTTTTCCACCCATAGATGCCGTTCGAGACCGCTCCCGGCGTGATCGAGCTGGTGCTACGCATTGCGATTTGGGTGTTCTTCATCTTTGGCATCTGCGTGCTCCTGCTCGACAAGAACGTGCCAGTCGCACCGACCAGAGACGAAGAAGAAGAAGATCAGGCCGCTCACTCACAGGAGCGGCGCCACAGCGTGGAAGCCGAACGCGATGACGAGGAGCGTCTGCTTCGACGACCGCGACGCAGCCGAAGACGCCAAGGCAGCGAGGCGGAGGCTGATGAAGAGGAGGAGGAAGAGGAAAGGGACGACGAGCCGAGACACGAAGAACGGCGAGACGTGGAGCGCCCGGACACTTCATCTCATCCACCTGCGTCTGACCACCACGGTGCCTCCCTGGAATCAGCCGACAGACTAGAAGCCAAGAAGCGATTCTACCTCGGGCTGGCCATGCTTGGCAGCCTCTGGTTCCTTAGCGTGCCGCTGATGGTCGCCTTGAGGTACGCATCCACCACCGCCACTACACGACACGCACAACGCCAATGTTGACGTGATGTGCCATATGTGACTGTGCCGCTGCAGTGAAAGTTTCCCTGTGTACTACCGACTGAAGGCCGTGGTGGCTTTGTCCTACACGGTCAACTTCGTCGTCATCGCCATCTGTTCGCTTTGGCTCTACCCCGAGCGCGACGGCCTGTACCTCATCAACGGTGGCGGCGTCTTCCTCGATCTCTCCTGGCCGTACATACGCTCCCTCCCGCACAGAACCGACACTTGGACGTCGCCTGCCTCTTACGTGTTGCGTTGCGTGCAGGACGTTTGGCGCGCGAGGCGGAGAGTGGCAGGAGATCCAGTCGCCGCTGCTCCCCAACAGCACAACGCCCTTGTCGTCATCATCATTGCCAGCGGTCGCCTCCACTACTACCACCCTGTCAACAGCTCCGCCTACGACCTCCTACACCAACGAGGTCGCGCCTCGACAGCCCGCCGGCGGCCGGACAGCAGCAACAGTGCCCGCAACAGGCAATGCGCAGGTGGTCTACGATTCACTGTAGGCCTCGGCCCGAGCTCAAAACGGAGTACGTCGTGAGAGACATGCGAACAAGGGCACGCACTCACTTCTTCAACATTTAAAATTCAAACCAAATAGTATTTCCTTTTCCTGGCAAGTGCGTGTCTATTTAGGGCAAAGGCGGGGCTTGGCGTCACCAGAAGCCTAAAGAAGAAGGTCCCTTGGGGAGAGTGCACCTTTCCCTTCCTTCAGCCTGCGCCGTATTGCTTTTACTTGAATCTCTATTTATTTATTTATTTATTTTAGATTTTTTTAGCTCTGTCCCTCCTCCCCCCTCCACACACTACCCCCGCCAGGTATGTCCTTCACCTCGTGGAGGAACTGCCTGGTTCGAATACGAGTAGGATGGACAGGCCAGGGTGAGCGTCTCAAGGTGGTGGCCGCCATGGTGGTGGCGCTGGTGGTGGCCACCACCTGCCTGCTGGGGATGCTCCACCACGATGGACCGGAGCACTCGTGCGCCTTCGCCGCCACAGACTCCTGCCCGACCTTTGCCAGCATCACTAGTCGAAGCCTGCGGGTCACTTGGCGGCCTCCCTCCAGGGCCTCCCTTGTGCGCCGCTACGAACTCTACACGGCCGAGACCTATGCCAGCGCGGGCGAGGGCGGCTCGAGCCCGCCCACCAAAGTCTACAGCGGGCTCAAGCGGTCCGTGGAGCTGAAGGATCTGTCGCCCTCCACCAGCTACAACTTCACTGTGAAGATCATCGGCCACCAGGACTCGATCCGGTCTTCGTGCTGGCGCTTCACCAGGACGCTGGGCGAGGAGCACGGCAACCTCCTGGCCAACCCGTCGTTCGAGGAGATGGGAGGGCCGCTCACACCGCAGATGGACTACGGCGACCAGCCGTTCGCGGCCTACTGGGAGCCGCTCATGATGCCCTACTCACTCAAGCTGCTGCCCAAGAGAGGGCGGACCTGGTACACACACAGCAACGACGCCCCAAACAAGCGAGCAGCCCATCAGTGGGTACCTGCCCTTTCTCTTGTGCCCGCTTACTTGCCCTTGGCGTGCCTGCACACGACTCACTACACGCGACACATGACACACGACACTCAACACACAACGCAGGTATTTTTGAACCACACGGAGCCGACCAAGATGTTGCTGTCCGGTTGGAGCAAGGCGAGCGAGGTGAGTGGCGAGCCTGATGACGGCTACAGCGTGTACATGGACCTCAAGTTTGTGGACGGCACATTTGCCTACGGTATACGCCACACCATGTGGTCCTTCTTGTGTGACGTCTTGCTGACTCGTGGCTGTCAGGGATAAGCTTGAACTTTGATACCGGCACACATGACTGGCAGAGACGGTGTGCGATAGTCTACCTGGACAAGCCCCTGTGGAGCGCCTCGGTGGCAGTCCTCTTCTCGGAACACACAGGGAGTGTGTGGATGGATGACATCGCGTTGACAGCCAATTTTGGTACCTGCCCAGTTTCACACCACAACGCACCACCAGGTTTGGCAACCTCTCTGACCAGGGTGCGCCAGTGGAGAGCATGGAGCCGGAGTGCCGCAAGCTGCACAACGTGCCGTCGATCTCCTTGGGCTGCTGTCCGACACGAGAAAGCATCCTGGCCACCGACACTCCGGTATCCCTTGGTTTATTCTTCGTGGCCTAGCAGCGTGACTCACATTCGTGCGGCGCCCGCAGGAGTCCGACGACGTTGCGATCGCGTCGCAGATGACGATCGACCGATTACCGGTGCTCGAGAGCATGGCCGAGAGCTGGGCGGGTCCCATATCGGCCGTCATCCTGCTGTCGAATCCCGAGGCCGAGCTCAAACAGATCCACAGCCTTCGCAATCGGTCCGCGGTCATCCGCAAGAACGTCGACTTCCATCTCGTGCACGGCGAAGAGGTACGCGTGCCGCGTCGTACGCTTAGTGGTCTCATGGCTTGGGCGCTAATGGAAGCAACAACATTGTTATCGACCGCGCAGAACGTCTATGCACTCCACACTTTGGGCCTGTACCCGGTCAACTCCCTGCGCAACGAAGCCGTGGTAAAGAGTCGAACGGCGCACGTAATGGTGTTGGACATCGACTTCATTCCCAGCCGAGACGCGCGGGAGAACATCCTGTACTTACCTGTGATGATTATTGTCTGTATGTGTCGACTGGGTCCACTCACCATATTTTTGCCACCACCATGGTCAGGCGGTTGTGGGACCAGCTGCACGAGCCCCAAACGGTGTTTGTGGTGGCTTCGTTCGAGATGGACGACTTCAACATGCGAGACGTGCCGCACACCAAGGACCAGTTGCTGCGGATGGTGGCGCAGGACCGCATAAGGCAGGTGCACAAGGACAAGTGGTTCCCGGCGCACGGACCCACAGACTACGAGCACTGGTACAGCACCCGCGAGCTCTACCAGGTGCCCTACCAGCGCGACTACGAGCCCTACTACATCGTACGCAAGGACGTGCCGCTGTACGTTGCCGCCACCTTCAGTCTTTGGTGTGGTGCCTGTGCATTCTTGGCTCGAGAATTGACACCCAGAGGGTGGTCGGAAGGTGGGATGAACGGTTCGTGGGCTACGGCTTTGACAAGGTACTGCTCTGATCAAACACGATTGATGTGTGGGTTAAAAAAAAGGCTGATAAGCCAATTGACACGTTGTGCAGGTGTCGCACAGCACGGAGTTGAACGCCGCGGGCTACTCGTTCTTCGTGATGCCGGACACGTTCATCATCCACGCCGAACACGGCGTTCCCGGATGGCGAGGCAAGGGCGATTTTGTACGTCTCTGTCTCTTCTCCATCACCCTTTGCGCTCCTCGAAACCGCCCTGACGTGCTGGCTACAGGTGCGGGTGCGGGTGTGGTTCAACTACTACTCCTTCTTGGGCGAGATGATGCTGCGACACAGCACGGAGGTCCAGCCTCACTCGCACTTTTACGAAGGTACTCCTCGCCTGATTTGAATGATTTGAATGAAGGGTGGCTGATGAAGACGTTCGACCTAGGCCGGGACTGGGCCGAGGAGGAAGGGTCCGTGGTGATGGCAGGTCCGGTGTACGCCACGGGGCTCATGGCCAGCCTGGTACTCTTCGCCTACGCCGTCACCCGTTTCGCCCGCTCCCGCAGGACAGGGCGGTCTTTGTGACAACTAAAATAACCTATAAAATAAAAAACACCGATAAAACAGCGCAACGAACGCCAGGTTTTGTCTTTCGACCGAAAGAAAAATAAGGAAAATAAGGCAAGTGAATTTTTTACATTCTGCCTATGGTGGTGGAAATTCGAGGAATCCAAGTGCGGAGAGGAGGCGAAGAAGGACAGACATCTGCCGGCAGTAGTGGAGCGAGGCACAAGATGAAGCAGCAGGAACTGCAGGTTGTGCTGCTCCGGTCCCTGATTAGCGTGGCGACGGCGGCCGTGGGCAGTTTGGCCATCGGGTACCTCCTCCGCAGAATCCTCGCCCCCAAGACGAGCGATGCCGATGTCCAGTCTGCACTCAAGAAGCTCTACGAGATCGAGGTGCCGATCCTCCTCACATCTCTCCTGACCAAAATCGATTAACTTTTTCCATCTCATTTTTCATCATTTTATTTTGATGATACATTGCAAATTTGTGTATCTTGTTTCTTTGTTTGAAACAGAGGCAAAGAGGAAGGGAGGTGAAGGAGCTGACCCTCACGGAACACGAGTGCGAGCTCATCAAGGACGTCGTAAGCCCCTCCGAGATCGACGTGGACTTCAACTCGATCGGCTCTCTCGAGGACATCAAAAGTACCGGCTCCTCCGCCTGCCGTGTCGTGCGTGTCGTGTGTGTCGTGTGCGGTGTTGTATGTGTGTGTGTGTGTGTGGTATCTGACAGCCTCGGCAAACGCGCACGATTGCCAGAATCGCTGCGGGAGGTGCTCCTGCTGCCCATCAACCGGCCGGAGCTCTTCGAAGGCCGACGCAGCAAGCTGCTGCAGCCGCCCAAGGGAATCCTCCTCTACGGTCCTCCGGGTATGCACATGTCGCGCTTGGTAGCTCACGTGGCTCTCCCAGTCAATATCCTCATGGTCTTCATGCTCTCTTCTTCTTCATCCACGTCATTGGCAGGCACCGGAAAGACGATGATGGCCAAGGCCATTGCCAAGGAGGGCAAGCTGGCATTCATCAGTACGCTCTCGCGCGCGCGCGCCCCGACTATGATGAGTGCTGTGAGTGTGTACACGCTGACCCTGTTTGGTTCCCGTAAAATGCAGACATCAATCTTGCCACCATCCTCAACAAATGGTATGGCGAATCGGAGGTAAAACAGCCCAACTCGCTCGAGTCCTAAATGGCGCGTCGCTAACACGCACACGACACGACACGACACGACCACGCACAGAAAATCGTGCGATCAATTTTCACGCTGGCGCACAAGCTGCAACCGTGCGTGGTGTTCTTCGACGAGGTGCGCCACCTGCCTTCCACCCGTGGCCCTGCTGTCTGCGCTGGTCTGATCAAAAAACGCGATTAATCATCCACCTCGCCTGATGGTGGTGTAGATGGATTGCTTCTTCCACAACGGAGCGTCGGCGTCGGGCAGCCAGCACTCCTACCACATGCAGGTCGAGTCCGTCTTCATGACGTACGCACACCTTCTGTCCCTATGTCATCGTCCTGCCGTGGTTCTGGGCCTGACCTACACCACCCCCCTTCTCTCTTTCCTTTCTCTTTTCTTTCGTTTTCGTTCTTTTTCTTCTCCTTTTTCTTCTTCTTTTTTTGCTTTCAGGCTGTGGGACGGCATCGTGACGGACAGCAAGTCGCGGGTGATTGTGATCGGGGCGACCAACCGGCCGTACAACCTGAGCGCGGCCATCCTGCGCCGCATGCCGCTCCAGTTCCTCTTCGACCTCCCCAACAAGGCCCAGCGCGCGCAGATCCTCAACGTGGTACGCACCTGCGCGCGCGTCTCGGGTGGTGTGCTTGTTGTATGGTGCGCTCACTCGCTGCTGCCGCCGTCGCCGCCACCGCAGGTGTTGGCCAACGAGCCGCTGGCGCCGGGCTTCAGCATCGACGCGCTCGCGCAGCTCACGTCGGGTTACTCCGGCAGCGACCTCCAGGAGCTCTGCAAGAAGGTACGGCTCGCGACGAGGTCGACGGTGGTGATGATGACGAAGGCGACGGTGATGATGGTGATGATGGTCTCACACGCCTCTCCTGCTCCCCGGGTGCGTCAGGCTGCTGTGGCCCCGCTGCGCCACTTCCTCGAGGAGGAGGAGAGGCGACAGACGGCGACTGCCACCACCACCACCACCGGCTCGGACACGCACGGCCTGCGACCCATGCACATGCAGGACTTCATCGAGGCCATGAAGGAGGTACTCAATACCCCTCCCTCGTGCGTGTCGTGTGTGCGCGCGCGCGTCGTGTCGTGTTGCGTATTGCGTGCCTGTGCTGACGCGACGCTCGCGATATGATGGGTCAGGTGGCGCCGACGGGGAAGAAGGCCAAGCAGTACCACAACTTTGCGCAGAAGAGGGAGCGGGGTGGAGCCAAGCCTGACGGCGATGACGACGACAACGATGAAGACGAACCCTCCGGGGCGTCGATCAACATGGCCGACGTCTTGCAGTTCTGGTCGGCTATGATGGGCGGCGCTGCTGCCCGCGGCAGTTCGTCATCGTCGTCGTTCACCAGCACCGCGCAGGAGAAGAAGAGTAGCAAGCCCAAGATCGAGGAGATCGACGTGGACGACGAGGGCGTGGCGCTACTCGACGAGGAGGAGGAGGGGGAATACGACGAGCGGATCGAGAAGTGGAGCAAGCGATTCGAGGGCAAGGATGGCGCGCGATTGCTGGAGCAGCTGTGCGGGCTCGTTGACGTCGACCCCTCCCAGCCCAGACCCGTCGTCCTCAAAGAGCTGGCCAAGGTACGCACGCCACACCTCACTCGCACACACGACGCACGACACCCAGACATATACATGTGTCAAACTGACTGTTGTGCCTTCATCGCAGCACTTCCTGGACTGAGCAGGCCGCAGCTTGTACACCAAAAGACACGTCGGAAAAAGAAAAACATGTTTTTGCCGCACTTTGCCAAACCAAACAACAACCACGCGTGGCTTGAAAGGTTTCGGTTCTTCTTTTTCTTCTTCTACGACCTCCAGAAGCCAAAGAAGCCCTTGGCCTTGGTCTTCCTCCTCTCGCTGAGGTCGGGGAACTCGACGGCCGAGAGCGCCAGATCGAAGAGGACGGGCTTGCACGGGATGGCCTCGAAGTCGGGCGGGAAGTCGATGAGGTTGCCCTCCTTGACCCTGCGCGGGTCCAGATCGAACGCGTCCAGGTTGAGCACGGCCTGCCCCTCCTTCGTCGTCTTCTCCTTGTCGCCGGCCGCGTCGGTTTGCGTCTCGGCCTGCGGCTGCGACTCGGCAAACGCCTTGGCCTGCGAGGCCGCACGCTTGCCCTTGACCCTTCCCTGCAGAACCTTGAGTGACTTGATGTCCTCCTGCAGTCCCCACAAACACAACGTTCAGTGAATGAGTGCGACGTGTGCGGTGTGTGCTCAGACGTACGGTGGAGGGAGGCGAGCATTTGTCGTGATGGTCGAGGGCCGACTTGGTGTAGTCGATTGTTCGCTGGAGGAGGGCCAGCGTCTCGGGCCACTTGGAGGCGTTATAGTACGAATGGGCCACATAGAAGCACCTAACAATTAAGCCATGGCCGACTCGTGTCAGTGGCCATTCACCTCCGGGGGGAAGAGAACGGGGCGAACCTGAAGGCCTTGAATGTGAGGAGCTTGGCGGCGATGCTCTTGTGATACTCCTCGTCCTCCGAGTCCCTCAGTTCGCTCATTTCGTTCACGTTCTGGATGATGGTGTCGTACAGCTTGATGATCTCCTTCGGGCCGGGCGTCCTCTGCTTGGGATCTGATGCGATACGACGGTCATCGAGGATGAAGAGAAAAAGAACGAAAAACGAAGAACGAAGAACCAAAACAGCGCGTTAGACGAACCACGCGGCGTCGGTGTGTCGTGTCGTGTCGTGTCGTGTCGTGTCGTGTCGTGTCGTGTCGTGTCGTGTCGTGTCGTGTCGTGTCGTGTCGTGGGAGGCGGCGGAACCTTTGGTTTCGGCCTTGCCCGTGAGCGAGGAGACGAGGAGCAGGTTACGGTCGACGGTGCGGGAGAGCTTGGTGTGGCTCACAAAGTCAAAGAGGAAGCGCAGGTCCGACTCCTGGCTCTCAGTCTTGACGTTCTTCTTGGAGCCCTGGAACTGCCGCAGCTCGTCCCGGAGGATGTTGAGCGCGTCGTTGTAGATGATGAACGTCTTGTCGTAGAGCTCCAGCTTGGCCTCCAGCGAGTCCAGCTTCTCGATCTCAAAGATATTGTCCTGCGCCGACAGGACCAGCTCCCGCAGCTTGTCTGTCCATATGCCACGTCACACACACCACACACCAAGCCCGTTGAGTCCTCGCATGCATCACCGCACACGCGCACACGCACCACCGCACACACGCACATGACACACGCGTTACCGCACACGACGTACCATTCTTGATGGGCACGGTCTTGCCATTCCAGGTCACCTCCCGCATGGCCTCGCCTTGCTTCTTCCTGAGGTCGGTGAGGACTTTCTGCACGTCGTGTGCGTGTGCGTGTGTCGTGTGTGTTTCGCGATGATGAGACGACCCTCGAGAGCGAGCGACAGACACGACATGAGGTGGAGGAGAGGGGAGCGCGGGCGTACGTCGAGCTTGGCCTGGAGGAGCACGTCGGAGGAGGCGCCCTGGGCGGCAGCGGTGCCGCGGATGCCGCTGAGGTCCTCGCCTTGGGAGAGGTTGTAGTTGCAGAATCGGATCGTGGGGTCGATCTCCTGCACCCGCACCTTGAACGTCTCCTGGGTGTCGGCATCGCCCACCTTGCTCAGGTTGTCGTAGATCGTCCTACATCGCGCAATGACACACACACGACACACGACACACACACACACGACACGCACACACACACACACACACACGAGGAATGCGATCAGACGCGTTGCGGTTCGGGGTCAGAGGGAGCACGGGCCAGGCCTTACCTGGCGCGGGTGAAGCTGTCGAGGGCCTGAGCCCAGTCCTCCTCCTCGAGGCGGAGGTTGCCGGTCATCCAGGAGGCGTAGGCCTCGGCCTCGAGCTTGGTCTTGTCGTCGGCCGTCTCGGCGCAGAGGGCGACCAGCTCGTTGCACGACTTGACCGCCTTCTTGAGCCGGCGCAGCATGTGGAATCGGGCGCGCGGGTTGTCCTGCTGCTCCTTCAGCTCCATCGCAAGACTCCACGACCTCTCGGCGCTCATCAAGGGGAGCAGCAGATGCCTATGCAGAAGAAGCAAAGAGATGAGATCGTGATGATGATGGACAACCAGGTCACAGAACAGTAGAGAGTAGAATGATGATGCCCCACAGATTGTTCAGAGATTTGTAAGAATTGATTGATGTTGGAGGGAATTGGAGGCGCACTTTTGTTGGGTGACCTGCTGTACATTCAATCGCTTCTGGGTGAAACGGCCCTTGCCGTGGGTGAAGCCCAGAGTCTTGCGCAATCGCGTGAGTCTACGAGCGCAGTACTGCCTGTAGCGCGCGTAGTCCCCATGACGCAGGCCATGCTGGATCTGGGCTGCCTTTGTCATGTTCAACACTACATGCCCGCGGGGGGGGGTCAGCGAGATGACAGAAGTGCCACTAATTGACGAAGAAAAAGCTCGTCTTGATCTTGAATTAATGGATGGAAAAGAGTACGATCGATGGAAAATTCGTGTTTAGGGGTGGCAGGCTTCGTCTGCTCCACAGCAGGCGTAGTCGCCACCGCCTGATCCTGGGTGCTGCTCGATTTGTTGGCCTCCATGTTTGCTCCGATTGATGCAGCGTGGCAAAAAGAGTCTTTTATCTTTTCTTTTTTCGTTGTTTGACTGTACACGTCAGCATTGACCACAACACAGCGAGGCAGTTCATCAACGGAAGATGAAACTTGCACTTGAAGATGGAACCAACAGAAAAGCGGTGCGTGTTGTTGAGAGTGTGAAGCAACAATTCTTTACAATGTGGGGTGAACTCTAAAGCTCCACCGCGTGGCAGCAAAACAGGAGCGCGGAGGAGAAAGGGAAGGAGGGGTAAGGATAGGAGCGAGAGGAAGAAAGACGTGGTGCGCAGGAACACGAGTGGCGAAGAGCGTATCACTTATTTGTTCCAGTTGAGGTAGGTGATGTCTCCGAGGCGCCTGGGCCTGATGCAGTGAACGAAGCCGAAGAGGATGCCGAGGCCGATGCACAGACTGCCGACAACGATGTAAGCGATACCTGGTCGTGTGCAGACGAACGAGAAACGTGAGTCGAGCTAGCCAGCGAGATGACAATGCGCGCGTGCAAGAGCAAGGTCGGTTGAAGAAGAAGAAGAAGAAGGGTTGCTGTACCAAGGAAAGGATTCTTGCCGCCGAGCCAGCTGACGGTCGAGAGCACGACGTACTTCTTGCCGTCGAACTTGGCCGTGGGGTAGTCTGCATTCATTCACACAGAGAGAAACACGAGTGGCATGTGTTAAGTATCGCGGCCTGTCAGCCCGAGGCCAGCGTCGCGAGAGGCGCGTACTGTTCTGAATGGTGACGGAGTAGTTGCCCGGCTGCAAGTCGGTGTTGATGATGCGGTAGAGCTTCTTGAACGTGGGCAGACCCGCGGTACGCATCCACACGACAAAGTCCTCGTCCTCGAAATCGGAGATCACTCTGTACGCAACGGCGAACACGTTGTATGTGACATCTCGTTCTTCGCGCGCTCTCTCCTCAAAACGGGGTGCTGGCCTTACCGGATGCCGGGAACGTCGGATCCAGGGTTCTTGAACTTATGGTCGAGATCGGAGCTCCACGCGATGCCCTTCTTCTTGAGCGGCACCAACTTGTTGTTGGGATACCTGAGGGCGAATGTATCTGATGGTGGTGGTCTCGAGGTCAGCGAGCCATCCCAGTATATGAACAGCCCGCGGCCGACAAACAACGTCCAAGCTCGAGGCTACGAGAGAGAGAGGTTGAATACCGTTGAAGTAGCTCTTGGCGATGAGACCGCAGGGCAGGAAGAAGTTGTTCTTGTCGGAGGAGCCGTCCAGGGATTTCACCGGGTCACAGTCCTACACATCAACCGCACCACAGCACACACCACGCGCGAGGGTTTGAGTCACGACGTCGCAGCTGCAGCAGAGGCTGGGATGTGGTGGAAGTGTATGGGTACCTCGATGTCAGACTTGCTGGTAACCTTGTTGCCGCGCAGCTGTTGGTCGTTTCGGGACTTGACATAGCGTCGGTGGTTCTGGTAGTAGTTGGTGAGCTTGTAGTAGAGGTAGACTGGCTCTTCCATCTTTTCCTTGATGTCGAGCGTGACGGTGCAGATCTCTCCGATCTGGCAGTTATCGTCGTAGCGAGTCTCCACTTCTACCACCTGCGTGCGGAAGAAGTTAGTGCCGAACGGACTCGCAACCGCAAGGTGGGGATGGGCGGCCACAACGTACGTTGTTGGAAGAGATGAGCATCACCACGCCAACGGGGACGAAGATGATTCCAATCACGAGGAAGGTGATGATGACCGGGATGGGGGTGAGAATGGGCTGGCATGCCTTCAGTCGCTGCTGTTTGAAGGCCGTATCTGATGAAGACATGATTTAAGTAAAGCCCTCTGACCGCAAATCAGCGCAAATTGAGGATTAGAGGGCGTACTGGCGGGCCTCTTCGATTTGTGTTTCTTGGGCTGCGTGGGGTCATCAGACTTACAGCAGAATATCTTCCTCATGGTCGCCGACATGTCGCGCTCTTTCGATTAGGAAGATGATAGATTTGAGTCGCGCCGAGATGAACAGCTGGGGGTGTCGTTGAAGTCGCTTCCCCGTTCGTCCGATTCGTCCAATAATTTTTGAATTAAATGTATCAAATAAATAGGCTCTACTCTAGCGGTGTGGAGAGAAGAGAGTAACCGATCGAAGAAGGGCCGTATAGCAGCGCCTTCCCAGGTTCGAGAGGAGAGAAGCAGAGGAGGTGAAGTAGAAGCAAAAGTCAAAATCGAATGTCGGGCCGAGAAGGCAAACGAAGAACTTGGCGCACAAGAGAGACGGGCAAGACCCAGGAGCGTCCCGCTGGAAAATTCGTGGATTGGCCCTCTTGTCCCACAGCGCGACCGAGAATTCCTGCGAAAGAAAAAAACAACCCGACCGTGAGTGCGGTCTTACTTGTCCTTGTGGACCACCATCCTCCACACCTTGGCCTGGTCCGGAGCGTGTGTGATGCGATCATCACCGCCTTGGGAGGCAGCCGATTCACACCGCTTCAGTGCTCACGTTGGCTGGCGACAGTTTTTGCCATTTTTTTTTCAAACTAAATATAATACTTAAAACGAGACTTTGGCGCCATTATTTCAAGGTTGAAACAGATCTGGGGAGAAGGTGACTCCCGATTGCCGGCGACCACCGGAAGAGGATCATTTCGAGGATCACCATGAAGAGGGTTTGTTTTCTTCCGTTCCGTTTCGCCCCTCTTTAAATTCCCAGTTTTCGTTTGGCGGCCCGCAAATCATTTCATTTCATTCCTTTTGTGCCATTTCTTTTCCCCTGCGCAACCTCTAGGCTCGTCAGAGGTGAGCCAATACATCACGCTCAACCTGAGCGCTGAGATTGTTTTGTAGCGATGCCTGTTTTTTTCTCTATTTTTTAATTATCAATCATCTTTACTGATGAAGTAAAACATGTGCTCTCTTGACAGGTGCGGGCGGTGAAGAGGCGACACAAGAAGACTGAGCAACGAACGAAGCGCAAGTTCAGCGCGGCTGCAGGGAAGCAGACCTGGCGTAAGAAGCGCAAGGCTGGCATGGAGGAAACGGCCGAGAAGAGCCAACAGAAGATGAAGGAGGCGGAAGAAGAGGCAGAACGGAGCCACACCGACGAAGACGACACCAGCACCGATACGAGCGAAGACGATCGTGGTGTAGAGAGCACCACCAAGCGGGCGTCACGTAAACGACAGCGAAACGGCCAAAATGTAAACGACAGTGAAAAAGAAGACGAAGAAGAGGAGGAAGAGGAGGAGGACACCGATGAAGCCACCGATAGCGAGGAAGACAAACGATCACAGACAGCCGCGAAGGCCAAGAAGAAGGACCGCACGTCGACGTCGCGATCTCCAACGGCCGCCAAGAAGAAGAAACTCCTCAAGAAGACGCCCGACTTGTCGTCATC